GGCCTTGGTGAGAGGAGCATACACCGCAGTGGACTTCCTCCATGGCCACCTCGGCCTCAAACGGGTGCAGGCATCGTAGGAGAGTGTCGTTGTATGATCTTTTATAAAGTTTCCCATCCTCAATGGTGTAGCTCGGGGCCCTGAGTTTGGCTAGCTTGGCTCTCTCCTCGTCCTGGGGCAATTCTCCCAAGGTGATGAAGGTCACGATGTCGGTAATCCAGTCCTCCGGCCGTTGTTGGATGCACGTGACCGGGCTGGCATGGATGCTGGACATGCTCAGCTCTTCGACCTTGGCTATCTTGGAGATGTGCTCTGGAGTGCCTGAGCTGAGCTTGGAGAGGATGTCGGCCTCAACATTCTCCGCCCTTGGGATCTGGGTGATCTCATGGGTTTCGAATGCCTTGAGCAACTCCTCGGCCGCCTGTTTGTATTGCCTCATCCTCCCTTCTTTAGCCTCGTATGAGCCCTCAATCTGGCCCACCACTAGCTTGGAGTCGCACCTGATTATGATGTGTCGTGCTTTGAGGCCGGCGGCGAGTCTGAGGCCGCTGAGAATGGCCTCATACTCGGCTTCATTGTTGGATACCTTGAAGTTGAAGCGGATGGCATAGTAGGATCTGAACCCTTCAGGGGAAATGAGGATGACGCCGCCACCATAAGCTTTGGTGGCCGATGAACTGTCAGTAAAGAGAGTCCATGCTTCGTCTGGCTCTGGCCCTGGTGTGGTAGCGGCTGTCTCTCTGGCTGTGCATTCGGTGACGATATCGGCCAAGGCTTGCCCCTTGATGGATGGCCTCGGCTTAATCTCGATCTGGAACTGGCTGAGGAAGATCGTCCATTTCACCATCCGTGAGGAACTGGTGGGGCTCCGCATGAGTGCACCGAGGGGTTGCTGGGTTAAGACGTGGACAGCGTGGGCCTGGAAGTAGTGCCCTAGTTTTTTCACCGTGTGGACGATGGCCAGTACCGTCTTCTCAATGGGAGAGTACCTGAGCCCGGCCTCCCGCAACGTCTTGCTTATGTAGAAGATCGCCTTCTGTACTCCCTCGTCCTCGCGGATGAGCACGGAGCTGACGGCCGATGTGCTCACTCCCAAGTACAGGAAGAGGGTTTCACCGGCTTTGGGTTTGGAAAGCACGGGAGGGGACGATAGGTACCGCTTCAGTTCCTCAAATGCTTGTTGGCACTCCGTCGTCCATCTGAAGCCATTTGCCTTGCGTATGATCTGAAAGAAAGGGAGAGACCTTTCAGCCGATTTTGAGAGGAAACGGTTTAGGGCCGCAAGGCGTCCCGTTAGCCGTTGTACCTCCTTCACGTTTCGCGGTGGCTCCATGTTGACAATAGCCTATATCTTCTCTGGGTTGATCTCAATGCCCCTTCAGTTGACCATGTAACCGAGGAACTTGCCCCCCTGGACGCCGAAGGTGCACTTCTTCGGATTCAGGCGGAGCTGGAACTTCTTCATTATTTCAAAAATCTCTCGGAGGTCGTCGGCGTGGCTAATGGATTGCTTTCTCTTGACGATCATGTCGTCGACGTATGCCTCCATCATCCGGCCGAGGACTTTTCTGAAGACCTTGGCTACCATTCTGGTGTATGTGGCGCCTTAGTTCTTGAGCCCAAAGGCCATGACAAGGTAGCAGAAAATTCCCTCCGGGGTCATGAAGGCTGTTTTCTCGGCATCATCCTCATGCATGAATATCTGGTGGTACCCCCCTGAAGGCAACAAGGAACGACATCAACTCGCACCCCGCCGTCTCGTCCACTAATTGATCAATGTTGGGAAGAGGGAACGGGTCCATAGGGCATGCCTTGTTCAAATCAGTGTAATCAACGCACATTTTGAACGTCGGTGGCTTCTGGGCGAGGACGACGTTGGCCAACCAGGTCAGGTACTTCACCTCTTTTATGTGGTTGATTGAGAGGAGCATGGTAACCTCCCCTTTGACGAAGTCACGTCTGTCGGCCGAGAGGTAGCGCCACTTCTGCTTGATCGGCGTGGAGGTGGGGTCGACTGACAGCCGGTGAGTGATCACTCTTCGGCTGATGCCCGGCATGTCGTCCGGCCCCCACGCAAAAATGATAGACTATAAGTTTTACACAGTAGTAAAAAAAATGGGCCTTCATGGCTTCATGTGAACCCTCTTTCTAAGTATTGCATTATTTATATGTATCTTCAACACAATATCAAGATAAGTTGTATTGTTTGGCTTTGAAGTGTTGGTGGTTTTAGAATATTCATTTGGCCGAGCTAGTTACTTCTGACATCTAATAATGTCCTCACAAACCGTCACTAGCCTTTTCTGCGCACTTTGTGCTTACTCGTGCGCGCCCTCAGAAACTTCCTAGGGGGTCACTCATCCCAAGACTAGTCACGTTCAAGCACGCTTAACTTTGGAGTTCTTGGCTAATGAGCTCCCTTAAAAGGAGATGCACTTTGTTGGTATGAGTAGTACTATTAATCCGTTTAAATTAAATCTCAAGTATTACAATCACCCCCACTTAGGAACGCAATGTCCTCGTTGCGCCCATAAACCAATCTCAATCATATCCCAGAATCTTTTCCCTTGCTAAGTGCCCGCCCGATATCCAACGAATCAGCACACTGTCGCAAGGTTGCTCTGATACCATTTGTAACACCCCGGCCTCGTAGGCCCCGAGGTAGTTACTTCTGACCTCTAGTACTGTCCTCACAAACCGCCACTAGCTTTTTCCGCGCACTATGTCCTCACTCGTGCGCACCTTGAGAAAATCCTCAGGGGGTCACCCATCTCAAGACTACTCCCGTGCAAACACACTTAACTTTGGAGTTCTTGGCTAATGAGCTCCCTTAAAAGGAGACGCGCCTTGTTGGTATGAGTAGTACTATTAATCTGTTTAAATTAAATCTCAAGTATTACATTTAATGCACCAAACTATTTATGACTAATATAAATAGTCTCATCTTTAGGCGGATATAACACTCTGAATATTCATTAATGTAATACTTAGCATATCTCTCTCTCTACAACTATTTTTGTCTTCTCTCTAGATTACCGCTATTAATATTTCGGTATAGCTTTCAAAGTCGCGTAATCCAAATAATAACTTTTTTACACCAAGTAGTGATGTCCTTTACATAAAAAAATTATCTATAACAACCTAAATAAGGATTTATCAATTGTACAAGAGTGACGCTTGTTAAATATAAGAAAAAATTCAAAATTGATGAAGTGAATACATTATTTTCGTATTGACAAAATTGATATTTCAATCTGTTAATTAATGTTCTGGTGAGGTGAATAAGCTTATATTATTATACGTGTATTTTGGAATTACTTTTCTACTTTTCAATGAATTTCATGCATATTGTAATTATTTTCCAATGATTAATTCAACTATAAATATTTGAAATAATTACATATATATACATAACAATGATAAAAAAAACATATATATACATTACAAAAATAATTATCTTCGCAAAAATGTGACCATTTAATAATAGCAGTAGTTTAGTCATAATAACTTGTATTCAATTTTTACATTTAAAAAATTGTGAGACTATACTATAATAACTATTTATCATATTTTTGTAAATAAGTTTCATTTCAATAATATTTTTGTAAAAAACTCAACTAACAACATTATCTTTGATTCTATTTTTGTTTATTGTATGAATTGAACTAACAATTAAATACTTGTCTCGAAAATATAAAAATATACAAGTATTCCCCATCAAACATCCTCCTAAAATTTGAAAACAATAAAATATATATAAATAAATACTTGAAAAAGACATAATAAGTAAAAAAAATCATGAATGTGTCAAATAAAATTGTAAGAAATCATAATCAATTGAACATTTTGATCAATGATGGCCAAATTTGACCAATAATATTTTTAATATGAAATTATTTAATTAATGAAAAATATATGGAAATGTTTTTGTTAAAATACTTTCATAAAAATGTAAAAGTTGTAATTTTTCCACAAGTATAATAAGTAATGTTCTAAAATGCAATAAATGTTAGTGGAGCGCCAACCCAGCTCTTGGTGCACTTAGGAGGGGATTAGTCAAAGACGAAATGATATTTTAATCATTTTTTTTTTGCATAGTATGATAAATACTTTTGTGTTTGCGTGTGCGGTCTACATACGACACACACATTAATGGATTGCGCGATCCTCACATTTTTGTTTGTTCTTTTTTATAGAGAATAAATTGAACTGGACTGTGTTTCTCCAAAAAAAATTGTTCATGTCATAATTGTACACGCCCCATTTCGTTTGTGCCACAAATACTTTTTTAGTAATGTCAAAATCAATTTAGCAAAGAATTTGCGATTCAAAACAATTCTTACACATTTTTCTTTCATCTGCACAACTCTCCATCAAACATTTTTCACTATCTTAATATGTATGTCAATTGTACTTGTGAAGATAAATATGGGACGGAGGGAGTACAAAAATACCAATAACACAAACATCTAGGGGTATGTATATGACATGTACACATTAGACGTGTACATGACCCTGCCTTGTTTTTTTCACCCTCTTTCTAACTACCTACTTATTCACTATTGTGACACCTTCAACGCTACATAGGACTAGTTGGCGTAGCTCAACTAAGAGCAAGAGAGTGTCACAAGGGTTAGGTTCCGGGTTCGAATTCCGACAACTGCGATGAGAGGTAATTATGCTAAAAAATGCATAGAACCTCTACAAGTATAGGGAACATAGTCTCACTCTCTATCTTTCAGATTGTGATTATAGTCTAATTTACATTCTTCTAACGTATCGTCCGATCGATATTGGAGACCCTCAGAATGAGTATCATCCTTCATTTTCTTAAACGATACATAGGCGTGAATATGCCAAAATTTGGATATTCAACTCATTGATTTACAAATACCCTCCCAACGTACAGTCAGGTGGGGATTGAGGGCATTTAGAAATGGGGTGTCATCCTTTGTTTATTACAAATACCCTAAAGGCTAAATAGGTCGGCGCCTAGAGTACCCCACCCAATCTTCACATTCAGATGAGTGATGAGTGAGAGGATGTAGTGTCAGAAGAAGTGATGATTATTTACCTTGCAAGAACCAAATACGCTCTTTCAGAAACAAAAACAAATCGCACAAAAAACTGCGACCACTTCCTATCCTTTCTTTCCTACAGATCAAAGAAATCAGTAAAAGAAATCAGTAAAGAGGAGAAAGAAAGTAGAGAGAATCGCACATTCCCTCACTCCGAGGGCGCCTTCTGTTTGTCCTCACAACACGTGAACTGCCAATCCTCTTTTGGATTTCAATTCCATTTTGCGACATTGCCGCCTCTTCATCAATTTCCGTCTTCCCGTCGTCAATGGAGTTTGCTGCCTGTTGAGTTATCAGGTACTAAGGATCCGTTCTTGTTCTCTTTTACTAATTACTGCCTTCTGCTGAGTTTGGTGATAGCAAAAATTACTCTCTTTTACTTTTTTTTTGGGGGGGGGGGGGGGGGGGGGGGGGACTCTCTGCTATGACATTCGAAGTTGGAAACTCAGATGGTTAATTCTTCATTACTTAATTGATTGCTGTAAAGGCGAAATATATGTATTGTCTGTCTTTAGCATTGCCAGGTGATGAATCCATGAATTTCTCTTTCTTTTTCCATTTCTTAACTCTCAAAGAATTGAACTTTGTTTTTCTTTTTTAGTTTTACTCTTACTTTCTCCACTGTGTATCTGCCTCTGGTTAGATTTGGAAATGTGGTGGTAAAGTCCAAAAGTGAAAGTGGGTAAATTTGAGAACAAAAAAAGGAAAAAGAAAAGGTGGCTTTCCAGAATCAAAATGTTAGGTTCAAATGACTCAATTTGAATTCTATTTCCATTCGTGTGAAAGTCACTTTACATGGATATAGATTAGAGCCACAAGACTTGGTGCTTTTAGTTGTATTGGCAACAAATATGTTATTCTACATCCTAAAGAAACTTTTCACCCGCTTTTAAAGTTTGAACAGTTTTATTGTTTACCGGAGAAAGTACTTTTTTAATATGCCTTTTATCGTATGAGCTCACTGTGAATCATCATAGCAAAAGATTCTTTGAGTGATCTTTTTCTTATATCTGCAACCAACCAATGAATAAAGGGTCCTAATCACGTGCGAGCGTGAGTCACAAGAATTTACCCAAATTCTTAGAATTGTGTTTTCCATTGTTGTTGAAAAATAACAATACACGGTATCTCTTCAACTGTGAACAGACAAACACATTTGTCCTCTTTTAACTGTTGGTTTAGGGAAAAAATTGCTATCAAATAAATGTTGCTTTAAATGCTACATAGTCCTTTAGAACATTATATCAGGGGCATTGCATATTTACTCCTTTTATTTTGAATTCAGAAAAACTATATTGTACTCCACTTATCTTAAGTCTTAATTTTTGAAAATTGTTTGCTTTCTTCATTAATTCGAAACGGCCTAAATCGTTGCTGAAAAAGATTACGGATGGAGTAACTATTTCAAATGATTGCCTCTCAGGAAGGACACTTTCATTTTTTATCATCTGTGTTATTGTTGTTGTTGCAGTCATCTATATCTAGTAAACTGGCCATTTCATCTAACTGTAGCTTATGGAATATGGACTGCCATTTAGAGGCTGAGAGAATCTCAAGGGATCAACAGAGGAAAACATTGGGTGATAAACTGGTGCTTGGTGAACCCAAAGTAGCTTCCGCTGACCTTCTTCAAGCTGACGCTTTAAAAAATGTGGGCGTTGCTCCACCAAAATTTGAAAAGGCAAGGAGAAAGAAGCATATTCATGACAGTGAAGAGGTTGTTCGATACATGTCAAATTTGCCAAGCTATCTGGAAAGAGGAAAGTTCCATCAAGAGAAAGCCTTTAATGTCGGGGTCCTTGAATGGAACCGTCTAGAAACGTGGCAAAAAAAACACAACCAACAAATTCCCTGTAAGATTAGTTCAAAGATTATCCAACCTTCGGTTGAGAAGGTAGACACTACTCCTAAGGAATTTAATAAAGATACAAAGTTGCATGATTTTATTATTAAGAACAGAAAGTCGCAAGATATTAAGGATAATAACTGCACAATTTCCATGACAAAAGGAATGGTGGCGACTTTCAATGGGAAAAATATAAAGGAAAATGCAGAAGCTGCTACTGAAGTAAGAAATCCTTCTCCAACTCCTCCTAAAGCCAATACCATCATGGATTCACAGATAGGATCAACCAGAAAAGTAGATGAGAAGTGTCTGATGGCGTCATCATCTAGACTGAGTCAACCTTCGATGTATGTGGGCAAAATCTTAACAAAACCTCCCAGAAGAATAAAGCCGGAGTCCAACAAACCAACCAATGCAAAGGAGGAACATGAAGAAGCTGCTACTGCTAAACTAGTAAGAGGTCCTTCTCCAACTCATCGATTCAGAATACAATTAAGTGGAAAAGGATTGACATCTACTGCAAAAGATGTTTCGAATGCTGGATCTAAACAACAAGAAAGGATGGATGAAGACGATTCATCTATTTTTCATCCCCTGACTTGTGACAAATCAAATGATTTGAATTCCAGAGTTAAGAGGTCTAGTCCTCTGAGAAGGCTGCTGCTTGACCCATTACTGAACCCAAGGAGAAGCACTTCTTCTGATCATCATCACTTCCCTCGTTTGATGAAAGGTTGTAAAACAGTTGAAATTGACAATGATACAAAACACAGACCTTTGAGAAAACAAGCTCTTTTCCAAGTGTCTATGACAAGTGGAGTCCCTCTGTTTAAATTTGCAGTGGAGAATGAAGGAGGTGAGATTTTAGTAGCCACAATGCAGAAGAAGAAAAAGGACAGTTGGATTTATTCAATCTGTAATGTTTGTGAAATGAAGAGAAAAGACAAAAGCAATGGGTATATATCTAGTGTTATTGCTCAAATGAAGGTTTCTGATGATGTTCCCTTCTCTGGCTGCCACTCAAAAACTGTTAGGGAATTTGTTTTGTTTCCTGCAGAAGAGATGAAAGAGTCAGGTCAGCCAACAAATGAGCTCGCAGCAATCATTGCTAGTGGCAAGGAAGAAGACATTAGGAAGCTGACTGTTATTCTTCCAGGTGGTAATCATGGATTACCAGGGAAAGGCTGTGAACCTTCTCCACTTATTGAACGATGGAAGTCAGGAGGGTCATGTGACTGTGGGGGTTGGGATTTGGGCTGCAAGCTAACAGTTCTTGCTGCTAATCGTAGCGAAGTGGTGACCAGAGGATCATTTAATTCAGCTATCATTCATTCAACTCCTGGACGGTTTGAGCTTTTTCATCAGGTAACAACAATCTGAGCGCTATAGTTTTTGTGTTCAGATTCTTGCAGACTAGCTTTGTTAAAAGCTATTAGCTCTATTTATAGAATGAATCAGCTTCAGCATTACCACCTTGATCTCAAGTAGTATCGGCCAGTGGGATAAAATTTATAATGTCAAAACGACATAAATTCATGCAAAAAACACTAGAAAAAGTTCTATATAGGATCTCCGTATTGTGCAATATGCTTATAAAAGAGTTCACAACAATGCGCCGAACTATAATCATCATAGAGGTCATTTATATTTGCATTAGTGAGTAGTGACCATATTTGTCTGGTGCAGTGGCACTGATGGATGTGGCCACAATAAGCTGACATAGGTATTATGAACATATGAATTATGATAAGTAAAAATTCATTTGAAACCTTATCTCAGAGAATATTTCACTGAAAAACACTCGTGGTTATATTTGTTGCCCAGTAATAATCCTACTACGTATAATTTTACAAATACTACAACTGCGATTCACTTTTCATTACCCATTGCAGCCCTTTTTTGTCTTTTTATACAACGCTTCCTATAAACTAACAGATATCAGCTTCTCAGTTAGTTTTTTACGTTGGTCTCCAAACAGAGCCACATGTTCATATATTTATTTCCTGACTTTTTTCCATTTTTGGTCCCCGACTATTGTGTCAATTACACTTTTGATACTCGACTTTTAATTTTTTTATTTTTAGTCCTCTACTATTGTGGTAAAGACACTTTTAGTCCTCAACTTAAAAATTTCCCACATTTAGTCCCCTGAGTATTATCAAATTGACATTTTTAATCCTTCCACTATGTTTTTGACACAATAAGTGGAGGACTAAAAATGTCACTAATATCATAGTTGAAGGACCAAAAGTGTCAATTTTATGAAAGTCGGACTAAATATGAAAGTTTTCAAAGACGGGTACCAAAAGTGTCTCTAACACAATAGTCGAGGACTAAAAGTGGAAAAAACCAAAATTGAGTACCAAAAGTGTCGATGAGATACTAGTCGGAGGACCAAAAGTGGTAAAAACTCTTTATTTCCCGCCCATCAATGCAAGTGGCTGTGATTTCCTTCAAATTTTCAGTTGAGTTAGTTTAGTCCATCAGGTTTGAGTGTTTGACTGCCCTTACTTAACATTTTATGCTTAATGGGTCAGGGAGAAGATGTAGAACAGAAGAAGCCAGTTTTTAGCTTCAGTGCTTTCAAGGAAGGTATCTTTTCCGTTGAGTACAGCTCATCTCTAGCCCGCTTACAAGCATTCTCTATTTGCATAGCAATTCTGGAAAACCTTGCTCAATGCGTGAAGGATGAGTCAATTTCTCAAGGCAACATGAACAAGTGAGTATATTTCAATTTCACCAAAAACGCCATCTGTTGGGAGAGAGTAGCTTGAATTGTAACAACTAGATGTCTAGATGAATCAGAATCAAGATTATTGTACATATATATGCCCTTTTTGTAACCATCTCCCAACTGCCGAATTTCTTCAACCAATGAAATGAAGAATTCAGATGGCTGAAAATAAAGAAATGTAGAAAGGTGTTTTTATAAGAGCTCCATCATTTCCTATGCATATGGGTTTTGACTTCTGTTGGCGTGTGTAGTCATGTAGATACCCCATAGCCGTGTGTCTTGTTATTCTGAGATTAAGTTTTGTGTTTGTACACTGGGTTTAGCTTCTACAATCAAGCCGCTTTCACCATTTCCTTTGCATTTGAACGATTGCAAATTTGCAATCACTCTTGATAAATGTTGCTATGCTTGAATGAATTGTGACTCCATATGCACATGCATATACATCTGTAATATACTGCGTATAAAGGAAGTTACTGCTTTAAGCATGATTTATTTATTTTCAAATACTGCTTTTGTGGGAAATCCAGTTTGGGCATCCAAAAAACGAACTTTGTCTCAACTTATCACTTATGTACACCTTATTCTTATCTCGGAATTGCCCAAAAAACGAACTTTGTCTCAACTTATTTACACCCAAAGTTTTATATATTTTGTGCTGTGTTCTATTAGAGGGCTGCTAAAAAATCAAGTTTTCAGAATTTCAGGTGTGAAAGATAGCAATTGTTGTTATTTTTTTCTAAACGTTGGTGAATCAGTGAATGTCTAGGATAATCTTGTATTCAGAATTTTGATGAAATATATGCCCACAGCCCACTAACTATTTAATAAACGTCACTTTTTCAGTTATCAAGTATCCCAGAAAATTTATACATTTTCTTCAAAGAAAGTGAATAAGTGATGTCCGTCACTCCGTCTTATATTCTTATGAAGTATTGCTGGATAGGCAATGAAGAGTATTGCTGCAAAGGATTCTGACAATCTGTGGGGAATGAATAATTGTAGGGTAATTCTATTAACCTTAAACATTACATATCGTGATACTTAAAATACCCAACTTAGAAGTTTAATGCTAATTAATATTTTTAATATTTTTGATTTGATTAATACTAATTAATATTTTTCTTTTCAAAAATACCTAACTTACAGTTTTAGATATATACCTTAAACAATGATTATATTTAATATACTCAGATGAGTGATTTTTAAAAGAACTTTTGTACACATCTAAATATTTTTGTTATTGGTGTATTTAATTAATAAGTTTAGAGTAGGGATGGACCCAGGCCGGTCCAGTTCCAGTTCCGGGCCGGGCCCGGGTGGGCATTTTTTGCAAATCCTTGGGCCCAGAACCAGCCCGGGTTGATACCGGGTCCGGGCCTAATCGGGCCAGGCCGGGCCCGGTTCAATGTCTAATTTTTTTATTTTTTGCTTTCTTGTTATCCCCCGACCCCCCCCCCCCCCACCCCCCACCCCCACCTCCAAACCTCCCCAAAACACCCAGCCCTACCCTAGGGAAAAAAAATGAAAAAAAAAGACCCAGGCCCGGCCCGAACTGCCCGGGCCAGTTCGCCCAAAACTGGCCCGAGCCCAACCCGCCCAAACGGGCTAAAAGCTCAGAACCGGCCAACCGGTCCCAGTCCAGTCCGGGTCCGCACAGTAGCGGGCCGGTTCCGGGATGGGCCGATTTAGTCCATCCCTAGTTTAGAGTGATAATGCACATGAATGATATAAATTTACTATTAATATCTTTCATTCCTTATTAGTAAAAAAAATTAAAAAAATCAGATATTAAAAATTTCAAATGAGAAGAATTTAAAAATATTTTTTTAAAAATTTATTTTATAATACATTAATAAATAAAATATTGTCAAAATAAAATGTGTGAATAGTGCAAAAAGTTAAATGTTGTAATTAAAAGAAAACGTGGGTAGTACTCTGTATTATATAGTTAGACTTAAATGAATAAATGATTAATATAAATGAAGTGCGTAGAATCGCTATAAATCTATGATGATTTTTTATTGTATAGTAGTACTCTGTATTAATATAAAATTTTAATAATGTATTTTTATTTAAATAATTAAATTACTCGTAAAAAATTGAGAGTTGCGTGAGAATTACTCGGAATTTTATTAAGATAAAGTTTAGTCTACAGGCCAGAAAACAATGACTTTAGCCCAGCTTACAATTTTAGCAAAACAAAATGCCCAGACAGAAAATTAAATAGACAAAGACGAGATTGCCCTGGTGATGACACCTCGCAAAGGAAAGCTGAGAACCAAATGGTGCATCACAAATTCACAAATATTGTCTTCTCACATCCTACAAAGAACTTGCAAAGGAAATAGATATATTTCAAACTTCAAATGCTTATGGATGTTTTCACTAACCTGAATTTCCTAGGACACTTGGAGTGTTACAATCCTCCAAGACAATTTAAAAATCTCATCCTGCACCTTAAGCAAATGGTCTACTATTAAATATAGCACTTTTGGTTTAAATTAGCAACTTTTCTTTTGCGTTTCATTCTTGCTATTTTCTTGCTACTCTATATATAACTCTCGGCCAACAGGGATTTTGAAACAAAAAAATCACTAACATAATTCCTTTCTAAGCTACCCCGTCAAATTTTTTTTAACTTTCTATAGTTGATGCCACCGAAACTAATCACTCCTTCTAATATAGGCTATCTATGAACAAAATTTTAATTTTTCTAAAAATAAAATGACAAAAAATCGTGTAGTGTGTGTTTATTTTAAACAAAGGTTATTAGAAAGTCAGTGAAAATGATAATATTGCAAACATGGTTACATGGATGGAAAACAAAAATTAAAATTCTAAAAGTACATAAAATAACTATATTTGCCTTATCTAGAAATAAATTCAATTATTCAAACATCGCTTCAAAGAACCTCTCTTCTCATGTCTCCTATAAATAAGATATTTGGCAAGTTTAGTTGATACTCTTATGAGCATCATGGGTCAAAAGAATCTCGAAGAGACTAATGAGGTCACAATACTTCAACTATTAATGTATATATTGTTGCTCTTTTAATCCTTCACAGGGTAAATCTTAAAAAAGCATCCATTATCCTGTTATGGAAAGAACCATTTCTGTTTTACAATCACTTGGGAGCCAGTGTGAGATGAAAATCTCATGCACAATTCGGGAGGAGAGAAAGCAGCAAAGGGTATTATTTTTTACTGAACTCCCGCTTCAGTTATTGATCTTTACTTCAGAGTTCAGATACAGTCAGTCATTTTATTTGTTTTCATTGTAATTTCACATCAAAAGAAAGATGTATTCTGGAAATCGTAGGTATTCTTAACATTACAGTCAAATTGAATATGTCCACTCCCTGTGAGGGGCATGCTATAGAGTATATTGTTCTACAGTTTCTACTTCCTCAAATCCACAGCTCCAAGAGGTTTTTCTTGCATTATTATTTTTAGCATACATACAAAAAATAATCACATTTGAGATTACACCAAAAGATCACTTATCTTCCCTTGTCTTTAGCCGTATCCATAAAGGCTCTTATTCCTGTAGGCACTACCACAAATAGCTCTACTTGTTCTAGTTGGGATGCCTATATTTCGTGGTTTTCACTATAGGTGTTAATTGTATCTATTATTCACTGAAAACATGTCTATCGAAGTACTAATGAATAATGCATACACTAAACAACCACGTGCAAAAATATAGAATATTCCCATCATCAAGTTATATCATCAAACGCTGTATGACTACATGAATAATAATACGGAGTAATAGCTAACATACAAGGAATGACATAATTGTTGCAATTGAGCAGGATACCCTTTTTCAGCTTCAAGAATCTAACCTAAGTTCAAAATTCATCTTTCTATTTGGAATCAAAGATTATAAATGTTAAAGCCAAAAGGGTTTTTGCTATGATGTTAGAATTTGATGATAGAGTTTATATGAGGATTCTAAGTTCATTTCCCATACTCAACTAAGTTAAAAATGATCATTCCAATTACAATAGAAGCCATTTGTGTATACCTAAATTGATATTTGAATATGTATCCCTTAATCCCTAAGTCATTAAATTTCATTCAGTATTATGAATAGATAGATGTCATCATAAAACCTTTTCACTTGGAACCCTATTCACCTCAGAAGCAATTAGATGTCTAGAAGGCCTGTATGACCTTTCTCATATGGTCGTTTTATACAGATACTTCACCTTTCTCATACACTCCACTCCATACGTTACACTAGCCTAGATAGATATTATAATCATGAAACTTATTTCACTTCAAAGATGCCTTAGTGGTGAAATGTTGGAAACGGAGGACTAAGAATTGTTCAGTGAAGTATCCCTAGACAAAATTCCAGCATACGTGAAGGAAAACCATACACATTTCTCTGGAGAATTCCAGATTTAAAGAGACTAAGAAACACAAAGATACACCACTAAGTAATATGTATCATCTATGTGGTTGCCAAATAGTAACCAAAGTAACTTAAGAGCATTCCAATTACCAACTGCCCAAGATGTCATGGCTTCGAAATATTTTCATAAAAAGTATGCCCATTGAGAAACCTAATTTTAAGAATAGTACACTTAGGACTCCTTTGCTTTGGTGATAAAGACTGAAGATTGATTAGATTGAATTGACAAGCTTAGTATGACTTTATATTATGTTGACTTTATAGGATAAAATAAGTAAAATTATCCAAATTCACTATAACACCATTTCTGGAAAGGTTTGTGGGATTGGAATGCCTTGAGGGAAGTGTGATAAACATAACCCTTCAATTTGGCCATGTCTAGCGCTGTGAAACTATTAACTAGTATTATAAATCCTAATTTGTGAAAAAACAAAAAATCACCTTAAATGTTAACAGATTTTTATTCAATCATAATTACGAAATATTCACAAAATAATAATCAAATTTCTCATTATCCTAGTGTATGTCAAGTAGAATAGCCAATGTCCAGGATAGTCCATGTCCATCACAAAATGCATAAAGCCACCCCAAGACCCATTAAACCAATAACTTAAGACATAAAACTTAAATGATAGGCATAGCCTTACGAGGGCATATCGAAATATAGTCTGCAACTACGTATAAGTATATTAAAATATAAAATATAGCTTGAAATAATATATAGTTAGTAGTTAGATCCTAAATCTGTGCAGGTGAATCTACAATTAGCTAGCATGGTCTAACTATCACCAAGAAAAAGTTTATGGTCTAGGCCATCCAAAAATAGTTTTAGAAATTAATTTCACAATGAGGTATGAAGTATGAACTGCTTCTCAGGCACACTCCAGGCTTCAATTCAAATATATATATACAAGCAAGGATAAAATATAGAATTTGGATGCCGGAACCCCTAAGTTTTGAGTCGTTATTTTCTGTTGTTCTAAAATTAATGGGTATGCTCCTATTGTTTCATTTTAAGATAGGTACATTTAATAGTCCTACAAATCCTTCAAAAAAAATTGCCCTACAAAGACTCATAACAAGTTTTACTTTGCACAGCATGAACTATTAAGGGTTGACAAGTTACTGCTCAAACATCCTTTTGGTGTGCTCCTATATGACTAGTTCAAGAGTCTACTTCGCAGGTTCAAGAGTCCATTTTATGAGCCCAAGTATATAAATCGTGTATTATTTCTCCTAGCATAAAATACAAAACCAACTCCCTAATCACTTCCTCCCATTTCACCAATATATCACTATTAACTATATCTGTATAGCGAACTAGAAATGTGATTAGCTGACAAAGAATGTCAGTTTGTCAGATTATATTAAACAAAAAAACACCAGTAGGTTACCAGTTGAATAAAAGTGTGCATCAAACATATCCTGGCCATCCAACAAAAATGTCAATTTTCTCTGGGGAAAGCATCCTCTCTCTTTTCTGCGACGCCCAAAAAAGGCAGATTCAACCAAAAAGATCTATTATAAAATATTTTCAGCCACAAAAGAAGTATTAACTTCATAACAAATAACACCATATAATTAACATCAAAATTGTTAAAACACCTAAAATTATGCCGTCATATCAGAAAAATTACGGGAAGACAAAGAAGAATGGAAATCTTCTTTGACACAAAACAAGAACTACCATGTCTTTTATGCAAATGAAATAAATTTGAAGAGGCTGAACAACTTCTTTCCATGTTGATATGGTAGGCCATTGAAAGGAGTTGTACTCTACATCCAAATTACGTTTTAAAAAAGAGACGTTTTTCGGGTTGGGACATTTTTGAGTTTATTTTCTTTTTGTCATTTCTTCTTTTCGTTGTTTTTCTCTTACTTTTTGAGTACTTTACTTTACTCATCTTCAATAAAATTTCCTTCTCTAAAATAAATAACTGTAACGAGCTTCAACAAGGTGCGTCAGATAAATGCCTTCACTAACTGATGATATCTGAGCTTCAGAATATAAGAGTTAGAATCCCTCACCCTGACGAACCCAAGTCATGACAAGAAAAATGTGTTTCCTAAAAAAAAGGAGCCATAAGACCCTTATTATATAAGACAACTTTGGCACGCTAAAGTCCTGCTACTTCACCAAGTCTTTAAGACAGTATGCTGAAGTCCTATTCTACACTCACCAAGTCTTTAAAACAGTGTGCTAATGCTTACTATATAGTCAATAGGAATGAATACGAACAATTAAGCACGTCTGTGACCTGGAAGGTCTATCACACTATGACACTACCTCATCATCTCAACATCATGTCATCATCCCACGCCCCATAATGTGATGCCTAAGGAGCAGTTGGAAAAGCTCAAAATATTTTGATTGGCTACTAACAAATAAGAATATCAAGAACTGGTTTTCTAATGGAAGTCTGTCCAGCTAGTCAAGCTTGATAGAATACCTAAGCCTGATTAGACCGACAAGGAGAAAGAGGGCTTACTTGTTGGCAGGTTGCCTTCTTCTATCCTGACCTTGCTTCATCTACGCATGGGTTTACTATCTCCTTCTGAACAGGGTTTCTGATAGAATGAATCCTAAAAGGCTGGGAAAAATAGGACTAAGAACCTTACGATAGCACACTTTCTTTATAGATCATATATCCCTTGGTTGGTATTAGAAAATGTATCCACTCGGATTTCTAACTGACATCATTATAATAAGGGCTGGCGACGTAAAATTTGTAGCCCATCCAAAATTAGCTAACACTACATTTCATGATAAAAAAAACTGCAGTGAAGAATTGAGGTAGAAATTCTTCCTGAATTCTACGAAGGATTTCCTAATTGCCATTCACAACTTTGAACCCAAAAAAGTACCTACTACGCTATAAAGTAATATACATAGACAAGTTACTCATAGATACTACCATGTGTATTGAAAATTCTATTGTTAGGATTTGATGGCAACTTGGCAAGATTAGCATTTCTATTTCTTATGAATTTTAACTGATTTCTACAATTTAAATGCAATTTCAACTTGACAGTTACTTCAATGTGTACTATTCGTAAGATAGATATCAGTATAATTCGGGACATATGTACTTTCTCGGTCACTCCGTCTCTGTTACTGTTACCTACTTTCCTAATTTGGTTATCTCAAAAAGTTTTGTCACTTTTTGTATAAAGGAAAATGAAGTGGTTTACATTTTCTCTCTCTCGTATGTGTAAATCTTTACGACACAGTTTTCAATTCCATATTTTTCATGCCCATCAATGCTGACAAGAGAAATAGCGCGGAAAGAGTATAAACTTATAGAGCATGTCATTCCTCTTATGGTAACTATGATCTCATTTGGTAACCCCTATTCTCGAGTCTCGACTTATGAGCCTTATTAGCCAATTTTTACCAATCACTAAGCTTTTGATTTTGTAGGCTGAAATGTGTAATAATCAAGATAAGTAAGTATGGAGTTACTTTTCTTGTTGAATGGGCTAAAGTTGATGAAGCAAACAACTTTAGCTTTTTCTATATAATTTTTCTATGTTTTATTTGTTTATATATGTTTCAAATATTATTTTTCCAGATTTCAACAAATTCATCCAATTCAACTATTTCATCCAAAAGTACAGCAATTTCAGAAGATTCAGTCCATTCAACCAAATTAATAGTTACCTAATGGGCTCTATATTTACAATATATGCCTCACAACATGTACACCTAATGAATAGTGATTCTTTTTTATTAAAAAGAGTGTTGATCATTCATTATGATAACGTGCTTCATATAAAATCAATTAACCTAGATAATTTTTTTCTGAAGTAAAACATGCTCCAAAGGTTGCAGAAGTGTCTTCTACCTCTTGGTTTAGAGGGTTATCATTACTAAAAAGGTTTATCACAAAAAAAACAAAATCAATGCCACTAGTTTAATTTAGTGGCCCTGATTTTCCTTTATCTTATGGCTCAAATTGTTGAATCAATTACCCAATCATTCATACTAATAATAGTAAAAATGGGACCCAAATGTTTGTACTTTGTACACTATTCTTATGAACCATTAACAAAATAACCCAAAATCTTTTGTAACTGTACCGTACATCAATTTTTAAATAAAAAATATGTCCACCTTGAATAGCTGCAACACTTTGAATTTACACTATTCAAATACCCTACTTTGAAGTTTGACCACATTTTATTTATCAGTGTATTAAAGAATAATATCAAAAAAAGATTACTCCCTCCTGTTGGAAGGTTCACATAGCAAAACGGCACGGTTATTTAGACAATAATTAAATAAAGTACTTCGAGTATATTTTGAGAAATAATTTTAATAGGTATATATTATAATGTAGTTAGTATTGATAACTGTGATGTTATAAATGTAATATTTTTAATATTTAATTATTAATTTGTCACTTAAGATTGTTAATTGTTTCCTAAAATGGAAATGAGAACCTTCTAACGGGACGTCCAAAAAAGGAAAGTGGAAACCTTCTAGCGGGACTGAGGGAGTATAAAATTGGTCTCATAGTAAAATTTCAAAATATGAATTTTTTATAATTTTTACTAATAGCCAATCAAATATATAAATGGCCAAAGTGGACAGAGTGGTGCATCAGTAAATGTCAAATTCAAAAGTTAACAACTAATCCACTAAACACCAAGTCCAAACTCAAATGAGGACAGATAAAAACTACTAATTGATGAGATTATGTTCTAAGACAACTATCAGAGGAACATGCAAAGGCAATGGGGCCAGCAGTTTGGAAAAGGGTAAAAATTGGAACCAAGATGCCTCTTGACCAATGACCAAATTAAGCATAAAACATAAACATTAATTTTCCATCCAAAGAGATGGGGATTTTAAGGAAAGTAATGTTTACTTCTCTCATCTAATTTTAAAGAGGGGGGGAGAAAGGTATATTCAAGGAGAGCATTCCATGTATAGATAATCCATAAAAATATGGGGTAATTTAAATGAGACTTGATACTAGTCAAAATAGTTCATAGGTTGCAAAATTAAGTTCTTCATAGGTGTGATTTCATATACTTTTACTCCTAAACTTCCTAGATCTTTTAAAGCATAGATGATTGACGGTTTTCAATTATATCATGACCAAAATGCCTCTGCAACCTACTCAGCTACTAAACAAGTAGTCACATACTATCTCATTTCTGGCTCCAAGTAACCCTTTTTCCATCTCATCTGGGGAATAGGGTTCCGTTATCTGCTAATATGATCAATGGTGACTGTGACCCATAGTAAGATTAATTCTTCACAAATTATCTAAATGCACTTATACAAATCAAATCACAAAATAAAGTAAACAACATTTATCAGCATACGGTCTCATTCCATCAGCAGAAGTGCAGAAGTGCAGAACAGCTCAACTAGTCAACTAATAAACTGACAAAATTCTCCCAGCATAAAAAAGGATCTCAAAGTTGTAAACAAGACACACTTAACTGCAACAGAATTTGGCTTCCAACTTCCGAAAACCATATCCCGAAGAAGGCATCCACCTGAAATGAGGGAAATAGGGTAAATGCCCCTGTGATGAGAAGTAGACATGAAAATCAAATACTACGCAACAAATATCACTACTCAAATACAGATGATCTGCAACGAGCAATCACAACCTTCTAATCCTTGCAATATTCTGCAGGACTCAAGGTTTGTTAGCACCACCCTCAAAAGCAGCATTTCTAATCTTCCCTTCCTCTTCAACTGCTGTGTTACTCCTGCAAAAATTACCAATGGGAAGAATGCTTCCAAACATTCTGTTGTGAAACTTAACAGAGTTATAAACAAAAATATTACTCACTTTTGTCTCTTTTTGTTTTGTTCCTTGATACTTCTAACCATATCCATAGCCATATTTTGGTGCTCTCTTGTTTGTGAATGCATATCCAAGCCCTCCATGGTTTCACAATCAACCTTGCAAATGCGACACCAGCCCATACTCAGTGAGATCCTATTCCTTGTTCTATCGAAGGAGTCAGCATCACCCTGAAATGTTAAAAAACATTCAGCATTACATGATTCTCCAAGTCCCATTGAATCACTAAATTGATTAACAATTGAGTGGATAAAAAATGAGAGTTAATAATAAAAAATGGAAAGATTCAAAAGATGACAAGACTTTCCATAAAAGTTTCTTCATTGGAAACTCCTTGTAGAGAATATCTGCTCCTAAAACCAGGCTCCCCAGGACGCGGAAAAGCTGGCTTGTTCCCTCCAAATGATTCACCAAAAGGTAGATGCGGCAAACTACCAGGCCCTGAAAACGGACCAAAACCAGCAGGTTCTCCAACGTGCAAAGTTCGACGTCCCAAAGGATCGATCCCTCTCAAATGTCTAGGTACCATATGCTCGCCCACCATGTCTCCTCGTGGGTGGCGATGCAAAGGAAGGAACCCGTCATCATGAAATGAGTTCCTAACTGGATTAGGAGGATGTCTGAAAGGTCTAGACCCTCCAGGAAACATGTGTGCTTCTCTGCCATCAAGATCATCAAAACCGGCAGGACCATGAGGAAGAAATCCACGGGGTGGGTTGCCAAAGTATTCTCTGGGAGGACTCCTAGGAGCAAAGCGATCCATGTGTTCAGGACCAAATCCATGTCCTGGTCCAACAAAATCAGTATGCCTGTGGACAAAATCAGCATTTCGTCTCTCGTCATTAAGCAGACTGAGCCGCAATTCTCTCTCTGCACCACCAATATTGAATGGGGCACCAGGAGGATGATATGGTGGCAAAAATCTTGATGGAGCAAGAGCATTACCATCATAGTTAAATCCATGAGGCCCCTTGTCAAATGGACCAGGTCCAGCTACAATAGCAAACCAAAAAGAATTTGAGTATCAGAAGTTCAGGGTCCATGACTACTAAAAAAATAAAAAATATATAAAGTATATTAAAATAAATGCTCCCTCCAAATCACCTTGATCAAGAGGCCAACGAGGTTCTCCTGGAAAAGTTCCCAAATGATCCACACCTGAGACTTTCAACCTTTCATCATGAGAATGTTCAGTGTGATATGGCAGACCTCTATCAATTCCATTCATCCTTCTGTTATGGAACATTTCAGCTTCCATTCGATTAGTTGGGTGCTGCTGCCCAAAGTGACTTTCATTGACATTCAAAGGAGTATGATGGGAGGCAAAGTGGCCTTCAGGTCCAGATAGTGGTGCTCTTCCCATACCAGCTGAACCAAAAGGCAAAGCACTTGAAGGAAATCCCTGAGAAGTGTTAGATGAAACTTCAAAGCCTGTATGGGGATAAAAATTACCAGGCAATCTACCAGAGGCTCTGTCTATCAAACCGTCAGTATGAGCTGATTTGGCACCAGATGACAACTCTGCAGCATTCCCACTATGCTCCTCCTTAACAGCTTGCTTCATTGCAGGGTCATTAGAATTGCCTTTATCAGTGTGGTTGCTTCTCGCAAACTCCATTGTGGTATCTTGTTCACTGCTCATGCCTGTTTCCAGTTTTACAGCATTCGTTTCAAAAGATTCAGTTCCAAGCACACTGCCCTCCTTGCCAGCACTGTTTTGAGAAGTTATTGTAGCTTTTGCTTTGTGTTCAAGTTTTGTGCATGTGGGGTCAACTTGGCCCTCGTGTGCTACAGATTTTTTTTTATCTATAGAAGCTTGCAGTTGGTTGTTCACAGAGTTTAAATAATGACCATTAGGTGGTTGGTTTGAGCCATGTTGCACTGCTAGAACTGGATGTGCAGCACCAGATCCACTGGATGCAGGAGGCATTGCTTTTCCAAAATAATTTTGAGATGGTTGAGGGTGCATGCCAGGACCTAACACAACACTTGGCTGTGATTGGACAGGGGCATGAAAACTTTGAGCTGTTTGAGGTGCCATATGAGGAGGACCAGGTGGATGTATGTAAGACGGCTGTTGCTGCACAGAGGGACCTTGCTGTTGTGACTGGCTAGGGAATGCACCCACAAATGGCTGCTGGGGATACTGCTGAGACACCGGTAGTTGAGTTGCTTGAGGAGGACGTGACTGAACTGGAAGGCCATTGTATTGAGCATTTGGGGGGAGCAAGGATTGCTGAGAAACGAATTGACCTTGAGAAGTCAGCGTAACCTGTTGTTGATTGGCAATGGGAGCATGCGGAGGGCGCATCATAGGTTGCTGCTGCTGCAGAACCTGACTTTGGGTGTGGGCAGAAGGGAAAGGCCCACTTGCGCCAGACCTCACAGGCATTTGAAGTTGAGATTGTGGGTAGGACTGGTGTCCTGTGAGTGCATGAGGTTGAAGTGGGTTCTGAGGCTGGACTATGGGAGCAGCAGCAGGCTGGCTAGACTGAGGGGGGTGCATGCTTACTTGCGGTTGGACTTGAGGACTTTGCTGTGGTAATGCCATAGGTGGCTGTGCATTATGCAAATTTGCAGAAGGCTGCTGGTAAGGATGGGCTTGCATATGTTGCAATCCTTGTGGATGTGGCTGCACTGGATAAAGCTGTGGGGTCTGACCATGAGGGGGTGGATATGATTGTGGAGGAACTTGTGCATGAGATTGTACAGGAGGCTGAAATAATTGTTGTTGGTTGACTTGACTTTGGTTCTGGTGTTGTGTGGCCAAGGGTTGAATATGTGGTTGGACCTGCGCTTGTGGTGGAACTTGGGCTTGAGGCTGAGATTGAGTCGATGATTGAGGTTGCACCTGGGGATAAGATTGTGGTTGAGCCTGGAGCTGAGGTTGGCCGTAGACTTGAGGCTGTGTTTGTCCTTGTACATGTGGTGGGTGTTGTTGATATTGCTGCACACCCTGTTGTTGGTAGGGATAGTACTGTTGATAAGACTGCTGATAAGGGTCGTATCCAGCATACTGCTGATAGTATTGCTGATACTGTTGTTGGTACCACTGTTCAGGAGTAGCCACAGCAGTTGGGGCTTGAGAATTGACATTAGTTTGCTGGTTGAGATCTTGACCAGGAAGTGAAGGAGCAGCGCTAATCTGCGGATTCTGAACCTGTGAAGCTTGTGAGTTAGGTTGAGCAACTTGTTTATTCTGGTCAGTACCTGCAGCAGCAGCAGCAGCAGTAGCTGGTGCTCCAGATTGAGAGTTAGGATTAACTTCTACAGCCTGCTGTGATGGATACACACCCTGCATTTTTTAAATTATAGCATATAATATAACTATCCCTAAAAAGAGTATGCAAGCATATGAAAAATTACTTAGTATCTATGGTTCCCTAGAAAATTAGGAAGGCTTGGTACATTTGTTTTTTTTTTGGTTGAGGATGAAAGAGATGGGAGGACTCAAATGACGAGATGCTTTTTTTCTTAAACATATCATGGAAAGGTCAGATGATGAGAAAAGAGCCAAAACCAATTAAATTGTCTAGGGTTTATAGAATCTTCCTGTAAAAAATAGGTATTTAACTTCAGTAAGGTAACATAGAAGCTCCCTATGAAAGAAATGGGCATTAATACACTCACTGCACAAGTCTGAGCATGTTCATGCACTTGCCGATGCACAATTTGCACTCCACACCTGTTGCATATAACTGGGGAATTCCCATAAGCACATCCAGGACAATGTGAGGTACATTCAGATAAAATCCCTTCCCATGTACATCCACTTTTATGAAACAGACAGCGCACTTTGACTTTGCCAATGGTCTCGGCAAGAATTTTGTTCGTTTCAATAAGAGGCTGCCATGATAAGCAAATATTCAGGATTTTTAATGCAATGAAAAAGTGTAAATCATTTTAAAGGAAAAATAAAATTAGCCTCATAACCTAACCTTGGAATGTGCTTCAAGCACTAAATACCCATCATATGGACATGCCTTGTCCCCATTGGAAACATGTGCCAAACAAGCTTTGCAATAGAGATGAGTGCATTGAGACTGAAGTGCTTCATTTGGGTATACGAGAGTGCGGCAAACTGGACAGAAATATTCCCCAGGATAATTGTGGATGTCAATTATGCACTCAATATCAAAACCCATATCAGCTCAGGGATATGTTATCAGTTCCTGAGATGCATACAACCGTGCAGCAAAGCTTTGAATGACTCTAACCTGAAATGAAAACCCATCACAACTACATTTGATAATAAAGAGATAATAAAGAGAAGATGCAACCGCTTGACTATGACATTGTTCAAAATTCAACTCCCAGGTAGCTGATTAAGTGAGGGTTGTTTTAACTGCTATAACCCATAAAATTTAAGACTTTCTAAGTTTAGAGTTCACTTGGAATAAATTGGCTGCACCCGAATTGTTGGGTGACCCGATAATCAGATAATGTGAACCTAGGGCTAACAATTCGCAGTTGACTACACGAATCTGAATCGATCAGCAAGGTATCAAACGAAAATTCTATATCCTTGATCATGTACTTATTCCATGGTACACATTCATAAGTTAGCTTCTAGTGCTACCAAACTCCCTCAAAGGAACAATGTGCTGCCTTCTAAGAATTTAGTCAAAGGAGGACATTAATTCTCGCTCATTCAATTGACCCTTTTTAGAGTGTCTAGGCAATGGAAGTCATCAGCCACAAGCACAACATAGAATACCAGTACAGCTAAAAAATAAAAGACTGGACATCAAGCAATTTGATTGGATTTTCATATGTTCCGAAAATGCGATAACATCTCACTCAGGATGCCATTTCAACGTCAATAGAAAATAATGAAGCTAATAGAGTTTACTCGATACAGAAAGAAACAACATGGACAAACATATTTAACAGTAAAATCTCACTAGGGTTTCTGGTGTCAAAGAAATCCAGGTTCAGGGACGGAACCTTTAATCAACAGCTAAGAAATAACAAATAGCAATATAGCACCAATCATCTAATTTAGTAACGAATAGATTCAAAAACTCAATTAATTAATTAACTAAGAACATAAAAATTCGGAAATACTTGGAGTCCCGCGCTGCGGCAGTAGCAGTATATGCCGCGACAGGCGGTGTCGCGATGTCCGATCCTCCTTCACTTCAAGAGTTGGGGCTGATACGGAAACGGAGTATACCGTGTGCGCACAGGCGGCACAGTATATAAGCGGAAATTGGGGCAGCGAAACTGGGGAAGGGCTGAACGATGACAATCTTGATTCTTGAATACTCGTATAAGTTTTCTTTTTAGTTTTTTAGCAGTAACTCTAACTACGTGCTACCTCAATCTAGGGGTGGACTGGGCCGAGGGCGGGTCGGCCTCACCCGGGATCTGGCCCGTTACTATGCAGGCTCGGCCCGCTCCGGTGGGCCGGGATCGAGACTGGGGGACCGAACCGGGGCATTATGTGGCGGGCTATGGGCTGGCCTCTAGGTGGGTGGTGCTAGGCGGTTTGGGGGGTTTGGGGTGGGGGTTGAAACTAATTCGAAAAGGCCAAAAAACTAAAAAAAATTAAGTGTGACCCGGCTCGGTCCCGGTACAAACCCGGGCCGGTACCGGGCCTGAATATTCTGGACCTGGAGCCCACCCCAGCCCAGCTCGACCCGGGTACGGTTCACCCCTACCTCAATCCCAAATTGTAAAATAATGTTAAAGTTAAATCTCTCATATTGATAATTAATTCAATTTTAATAATTAAAATTTATATATTCACAAACTATATTAAAATTTGCGAAAGTCAATTTGAGTTTCTTGAATACTCCTATAAAGTTGCGAAATTCAAATTAAAATTTAATTAAGAATTGATATCCTAATCCGTTATACTTAATAGCAATACAAACTAATCCACACCGTTCACTTAAAATGAATCATCACCATCAGATATTTTTATATTTCTCACTTTCTACATCTCTTTCCTCACCGTATGGGTTGCATCTCTATTTTTTATGACAAGGCACCGGCCCTAACCGGCGATGCTCAGGACATGGTTCCCACCGATGCTGGTCGTAATTAGTCGCTCAAGACCAAATGGCATCCAGATTGACCCATGTATGATTTCTTTTTCTTTACCACCATTTACTTCAATCGGCTAGCTATATAACATGAAACAAGAATAGAACTTATGATCTCAATTCTTAATAGCAATACAAACTAATCCTCACGATTCACTTAGAATGAATCATCACCGTCAGATATTTTTAGATTTCTCACTTTCAACATCTCTTTCCTCACTATATGGATTGCTAAACATTTCTCCATTAATTCTCAATAAGCTTCTTCCTCATCCTCCCTGTAAGGAATATTTGTATTTAGATTTTGATGATGCTAGATTAATTGGGACTTTAGAGTACCCCTCTTTAGACTTAATGTATTAGAATTTTTCATTTGTAAAGTTCTTAGTTTAATCGACTTGGCAGAAAGCCTCCAGAGCAGAAGGGCTCCAAGGGCAGAAGACCCTTTTAAGGCATTGTTGAACAGAGGACCTTTGGTTCTCTGCTTCAGAACAGAAGACCTCAGGGTCTCTGTTAGCCTTTACTCTGACAGAAACCCTCCTGGTTTCTGTTGGATATACTCTCAACAGAAGTGCCCCAGACCTTCTTTGATCAACTCTCTGTTAAAGACACCAGAAGGCCTGACACTTAGAAGAATTCCACCAAGCCGGAAAATCAACTGGAAGATACCTTCAACGGCTAGGAGACTTGAACGGAAATGCTACAGTACGCGCATTAAATGCACATTTAATGCTCCCCATGCTCCGTAGAGTAATTGCAGATGATTGGCCGCAATGTCAGGATTACTTTATCCCAAAATAGTAACCCGCCAACTTTACCGGGTTCTACTTGTCAAGTCAACTGCTCGCTCATTTAATGCAGTTGTCCTCCTTCTTCTCCAACAGGAAGACAACCTCAGTATAAAAGATACACTACGAAGAACAACCGGGAAACTTGCAATTTTTGCTAACCTTTGCTACAACTCTGCATACAAGAAATTCAAATGCTTAAAAGCAAAAAGCCTCATTGAGATTAACACTTCATCATCCTCTACAAGAGAAGGCAGAAGTTGGAAAAATCTTTATTTCCAAACTCAGGCAAAGTTCCAAGTGTTCTTCAACTCTTCAAGCTCATCACATACAAACTTCTTGTAACGAAGCAAGTTGGAGGAACCCCTGTTCTGAATAGAACCTCTTCTTTCACAAGAAGGACGTCCAAGTACCTAGAGCTGTGAAGTGGTGATACTTTTGGGAAAGCTCAGTGAAAGGACCAGTCTTAGGGAAGCCGGAAGTGCATCCAAGAAGACATCTACACTTGAAGAAGACATGGAGAGCTTCTTAAGTGATAGGGCTAAGGCATTGTAAACGGAAGTTTTTACAGCTTAGTGGAACAGTGGATTAGAGGAACAAGTTGTTCCTTGAACCACTATTAAAAGCCCTGGTGTCATCTACTTACTGCTTTTCATTCATAGTTTTTATTTGAACTATTTGACTCCAAAGACTTGGTATCTGTGTTCAGCAGAACTGGTCTTGTGAGTTAACAGAAGGCCTACTACCTTTGCTTCTCTGAGGCTATTAACAGAACTCCCTACCAGAACCCCATCCGCTGCCAGTCTGTTCTGCCAACAGAACAGGCTATTCTGTTAAATCTGGTACTTAGCTTGAAAAAGTTAAAAACCAATACAGTCTATTCACCCCCCCCCCTCTAGACTGTATCTGGTACAACCGGGACCAACAAGTGGTATCACAGCCTCCTTGTTCTAATAATCTCTTAGGTTATTTGCTGAACAAAGATCCACTTGTTTTTCTGTTTTACCTCATTTTTACCTGATATAATGGATCACTCCCTGTCCAAGAATCTTATGTTTTCAGATCTTAAGTTTGATGACTGGAGGATCCGGATGAAGGCACATCTTTGTGCTCTTCATGATGAGATGTGGGAAGTACTTGACATAGGACCCTTCACAAGCTTCCAGAAGGTCAACCCAGAACATGCTATTGACAACACTAGACCTCAGATGATCAATAAGGCCAAATCTGAGTGGACAACTGAAGAAAGAAGGAAGTACAATCTGGACAACATTGCTAAGGACATCCTTTACAAGTCCATTGATGATAGGTACTTCAACAGAATAAAGAAGTGCAAAACTGCAAAGGAAATCTGGGATACTCTTGAGCTCATTGGAGCCGGTGATGAGCAAGAGAAGAACAACAAGCTGACAATAGCCAACAAGAAGTTTGATGACTTCAAACTTCTCCCTGGTGAAAGCATCTCCAAGATGTATGACAGGCTCCTCACTCTCACCGGAGAGATCTCTGAGCTTGGCAAGGAACTCACCACCAAGGAGATCAACCTGAAGGTGTTGAGGGGACTGCCCTCAGCATGGAAGATGAAGGTGGTTGTTGTCCAAGCCAGCAAGGATGTGAAGACTTATCCCACTGATAAGCTCATTTCAGATCTCAAGGCTCATGAGTTTGAAATGATTGAACAAAAGGAAGATGTACCAGAAGAGAGGACCACTACTGCCCTCACTGCCAGCACATCAAAGGTAAATGACTTTGACCCTTCAGTACTTTTATCTGACGAATATATGGCTGCTTTTGCTAGGAGATTCAAGAAGTTCATGAATAATCCCAAAGATGGAAGGAGTCCATCATTCAACAGAAAGTCATACCAGAAGGTCAAAACAACAGAAAGCAGTGGTGAGCTTCTCTGTTACAACTGCAGACGACCTGGACATTTCAAAGCAGAATGTCCACATCCTAGAGTGTCCAAGAAACAAGGGCATGATGGAGAAAAGAAGAAGTATGAAGACAACCCCAGAAGGAGAAAGGCACTTGTGACAGAACAGTTTGAGAAAGACCCTCTGTCAGAAACAGAATCCAGTTCTGACTCAGATTCTGATGAGGCCTTCTGTTGCATTGATACTGAGACAGAAGACCTATGCCTCATGGCTCATTCTGATGATGAGGTAACCTCTACTTCTGAATCTAGTTTTTCTTCGGTAGGCTTAGCTTTTGATTCTGATTCAATGTCAGAATTTTGGGAAGAGTTTAAGGCCATACAAGCCACTTATTCCTCTGTAACAGAAGAAAACAGTAAGTTAAAAGCTGAAATTCTTGACTTAAAGAAGGAGGTTGAGATCAAAATCAATCTTCTAATAAAGGAAAGAGATCAGCTGGAGACTGAAAACGTTTCTCTTCTCAAGAGAATAAGAGAAATAGAGCCTCTCGAGATTAAGTACAAAGCTTACCAGAAGGCCCAGTCTTCCATGGAAAAGATTGTACTTGATCAACAGATTGGCACTGGTTTTGGTCTTGGTTATGGCTCAACAGAATCAGGTGAGCCTTCTGTAATGCCTAGCACCAGTGTTGCTAAGGCAGATAAGGTCATAGCGCCACTGATTTCTAGCCCCATTTGTCAAGCTGGTGTATCTGGCACCAAGGTTGTTCATGAGGAAGTCAGACCAGAAAAGGGAAAGATAACGGTTCAACAGAAACCCTTTTTGAAAAATAATGAACCTGGCAGAAAACCTAACAACAGAAAAGGTTTTCAAGATAACAAAAATAAGAGACCATTCATTGACTGACAACCTCATGACAATAGTGCCAGAAATGATCACCAGAAGGGCAGATATCAAGAGAGAGTTAACTTCAGGCAGAATAGGTTGGCTGGTCAACTTCAGAAGCCCAAAGCTAACCGTCCCTCTGCTCTTGATAGTATATGGGACTTCTTTCCAACAAAGAAAGCTATGCAAAAGTATGTAAACAGGAAGCATGACCCTCACAAGCATCTGCCCAAAGTGAATCACACTTCAGTTTACTATAACTACCAGGTGGACAATGGGTACCACCCACCAAGGTTTCACCTGATGAGACCAAAATGGTACCAACTACCCAGACTCCATGACCCCCCAGGACCCAGCATTGCTTGGGTGCCTAAATCTTGCTTTTGATCTTACAGGAACTCTGTGCTAGAGCTATCTCAGAGCAAGAATGGTTTATTGATAATGGATGCTCCAGGCACATGACAGGTGACAGAAGGTGCCTAACTGAGTTCCAGAAATGCAAAGGACCTAGAGTTACCTTTGGAGGTAATGACAAAGAAGGTCAAACAAAAGGAAGAGGAAAGTTGATCAAGAACCTGATAGTCATTGATGATGTCTCATATGTCAAAGGACTGAAGTTCAACTTGCTGAGTGCTAGCCAATTATGTGAAGCATGAGACAAAAAAGGAAGTGGTTCTTACAGCATCAAGGA